GAATTACCGGTTGCTTAAATTACCGGTTCCTCATAGCGCTCTCTGTGGATTCGGATAAGCATGCGGAGTTCACTCTTCTTTGATGGCAGATTTGGCAAGCAATAGGTGGAATAGGTGGAATGAGAGAATGACTGCATCCTGAAACCTTTACTGGATAAACGACTACTATTTCTATTATACTCAACGTCAAGCACTGTAAATACGTTTCTGAACTCTAGTTTTTTAGTCATGCGAAGTGGTGTGCATATTGCTCTTGCGCGAATCGCGTGTGTTCGAAACGATCAAGATAATCGGTTTCATACGTTGTTGAACAGAATCCCCCACTCGGATGTGATTCCTCGGTTTTCGTGTGGGTGTGCCATCGGACCAGAAGGAATGGAGCAAATAGCTTTCGTTAACTTTGACTGTTGCTTATGTCGTTACTATCAAAGTATTATACTGTTTTGAATTTTTATCCCATATTCACTGTAATAACATTTAGAATTTAGACAGCAATTTAATGAAAACCGCAATACGCAGTTTCATCAGATCCTTTTTTTTTACCAAAATTATACCAATTTTCACCGCGAAAATACTTCTGCACTCTCACAAACTGACCGTTTAGACCAGCTTACCGAATGCACAGATTCCTCCCGCTTAGAGCTTCCACACAACTTTCTGAGTCACTGTTTTTAATTCCACGCATAACCCATTACATAGAACTGGAAAATGTGCCACCATATATGTAGAAAAATCTGTAGAATGTGTTTATAGGGCATGTCGAATAAAGTATCTGCCGATATTATTCCACTCTAGTCGAAGATAACTTTGTGCAGTGTTGTTATTGTTAATTCCAGCATCTTGGTAGACCTTTGTTACAAGAATGATCCAGATAGTTGCGACAGGGTTCATGGCTGAGCGACACACAGATTACAGTTTTGATTTCCTCTAATTAATGACCAGCATTTTGTCAAAAGTAATGATGAACCGTGGGAACATAATGCGGAAAAATCGCTTCCATATGATCACTTGATGCTGTTGTCAAAAGAGTATGCGGCTGCAGTGCACTGTTGTATTCAGGAAAATCTTAATATAGCAAGTTCCGTTAAGCCGTAAATCGAGTAAGCATCTCATACTACCACGGAATTTCGATCGTTTTTCCGCTTACTGAAGTACCGTTGTTCTTTGCTTAGTTCATATTGGTAGTTTAGCTCAGTTCCGTTCAGTGTATCCAACGAATAACTTTACTCTTTTTTACGACAGTTACCACATTATAAGTAATTCCACTCAACGGGTCCAAGTTGAATTTCTTTCCATCGTTAATTTTGATAAAACTCATCGTTTTTCGTGCTGCATGAATAAACGCTGCATAATAAACGTTTTTCTGCATGTAAACTTACCAGAATCATGCGTTTAGTCCATTTGACCATTTTGAGTGTATATTGTATTGTGCACACTGGAACGTTCAAATCAAGCACCTTTTTAAAACTACGATGAATCATACAAACTAGCCTATGGCTATATCTCACTCACTCTCTCTGTTAGCTTTATCTCGCCATATCCGTTTTTGTTCGGGTTATATTTTCTCGCCTAGCATATCGCGCCACAGCGAATCTGGACTTATCTGACAATCATAGTCTTTCTGAAATCAGTCTCATGAAAACCACCGATTCTGAATTTCTCGATATTAGTAATCCTTTTTGAGTGCATTTTAGTGAACGATGACCCATCACTGATTCATTTAGACGTTTTCAATGTTATTGCAATTATCATGAGCATATAGTCAATGTCACCGGTACGGTACATGACCATAGCCCACATCAGTCATTCGACCACTAACTCTGCCAAAATAAAGACGGGATTAGCAGCTGATGCGCTTTTCAATCGGTTTCGGTTTTCTTAGCTAAGGTGGAGCAATAATTTTATCGCAGTGAAAATAGTGAACTTCTGGTATATTTTCGGTAAAACGAAATATGTGATGAAGTTTCGGTTGTTTAATTTGACGCTAAACTAGGTTCTGACTCGGTGCATGACCTGCCAGTCGTCGGAATAACTCATTATCCTAATAAGCAATTATCACTTAAAAATCCTTAGAGGGATCTAGGGACAATGTGCCAAGTGACGGCTACGATATCGCCCGGCTCTTGTCTGAATACCAAGGTCCCGAGGAGCGGACGGATACATCAACGAAAGCTTCCCTAGGTCATGGACAGGAGAACGGCCACCAATTCACCACGAGTAAGATGGGTTTAGGATCGCGAAGTAAACGGTCGCGGGTGATCAACGGCCATGGATGTGGTGGGTTTAGTACTTATCGAGGGTTCTCGATTAAATGTGTGCGAACCATAAAGCCTATAGGACAACATTCGTGCTTAGCTTATACACTCGAGATAGTAGCCATTACTGTGTTACGTCCAGGGTTAGATTCCCGTTTTGTCTGAAACGTGGGTCGTGATGGTCTGACCAATTTCTATTCCTCTATTAGGACAATCCGATTGCTGATACGCCACTTGGCGTCCGGCCTCCTCGTGCCAGCTGTGGACCCAGGTCCAACCAAAATCGCTATAAGGCACAAATGTCGGGTTGCATACAACATTTCCGATCGTACTGGAATACTTTTCTCAAATTCGATCATACATTGGTTTTCATTCAGCTAATCATGTACTTCAGTGGGTGTTTCGAACACATCACACAGCAGTGGTCAGAGTGTGATAAACTGTTTCACTCAGCTTGCTTAACCGTTCTTTTAAAGGGGCTAAATGAAAAAATGTGTAACCGATCCCCACTCGATGCCACCTAACTTACACTCGTCGCTCGTTTGGAAGGCTCCACTTTACTCTGGCCTGGTGAGCTGACGTTTTGTTTCGTGTCGACTTCCATCCAGTCTCTACACTACCGATCAGTTCCGGCCGACTACGAGCACAGTAACACATGAATCCTACCAAGGCCTGAATTCAGTCCAAGTCTACTCAGAGACTGCAGCCTGTTAGTCTCCACGTGCTCCTTAGCTGAACTTACCACTGCCATGGTTAAATCCCGTATAATGTTCCCCCTATCCGGGTCTTCTTTAGTTGCACTGATTTTGCCCGGTTTGGCTTCTAAGGATAGGGGTTCAGCGTCGGTCTTGGAGTTAACAAAACTCCTGAGAACAGTGTGGGAGGACGAACAGGGTTCAACCTGATGGTCTGAATCAGTCATATTACCGATCTACGAGGCAGGTGATAGATCCGAATGTGAAAACCACAGAGGAATCAACTTGATTAATATTGTCTCTAAAGTTCCCACTGGCATGAAACTCTGTCGATTACCTGCCGCACGTGAAAATTGCACGCGTGTCAGACTGGTTTTAGACCTGGTCGAGGTTGTATCGACCACATCTTGATTCTCCACCAAATTCCGGCTCACCGACATTCTTTTCTTAGACCCACCATTTCTGTCTTTCTCGATCTGAAAGCGGTCTTCGACTCAGTCGACCGCTCCAAACTCTGGCGCTGCGTTTCCCTGAAGGATGTACCCGAGAAGTTAATTTCATTATTACAATCCCTTTATACTAATAGCTGAAGCCGAGTCCGAGCTTACGGCACTTTTTCATCTGAGTTCATCAAGGAAAGTGGTGTTTGACAGGGTTGCCTCCTTTCTCCGTTTCTATTCAACTTTGTTATAGATTTGATTATAGAAACAGCCTTGTCTTGGTGCGAGGCTGGCGGCACGCATTCGCTCCCAGGTGGCGGTAGACTGTTTGATCTGGAAAATACACACAACTTTGTACTGTTAGGTACTGTTAAGCTTTTCTGGATAAGAACACAATGTAGGTGGACATATGTTGTCGGTTAATTCCTTTTGAAGCCCTTACAGTCATATTTATATTTATAGATTAGTCATCTGTTTGATAATAAACCCAAGAGAACTCTAAATTTGTGCACTGTTTTGATTCACCGAAAACGTATGTTCGCCTACCTTGTGTTCTTAATCAATGGGCATATTCCGTGAATTTTCTGGGTAGTTTAAGTGCTAGTGTAGCCATGTTCGTTATGTGTTTTGCTCCTTCAAAGTGTAAAATGTTACCACAAGATTGGGCTGTTCAAGCACCCAGCCTCACGCCAACTGGCTAAGTAGTAGAGGAAGTGGAGAAGTTCTTTGGTTTGGGTCGCTGTATTTTACCCGGTGGACGCATCACCGACGAAATATCAACTCGCTTGCAGAAGGTTCGATTGGCCTTTACGAATTTGAGACATCTGTGGCGCCGCTGAGACGCCCGGCTATCTGTGAAGAGTCGAGTGTATACTGCAGCTGTTCTACCTTTACGAAAACACGATGAAGATAGATTGTCGGTGTTCGAACACCGCTATCTACGTCGCACTGAACGAGTCTGGTGTGGAAATCAGACGAGCAATGCTGAGGTTAGGCGTAGAGTTTTAGGTAGTCTCGGTCGTCTACTAGGGCAAGTAGTCGACCTCTATAGACTGCGTTGATTAGGACATGCTACACATGTCACCAAATAGATGGCAAGCCGAGGTAGGTAGTGGGTGGAAAAAGATCAAGGTTTATTAAAATAAAACATGGCATGAGGGTATTATAACCCTGATTAGGTGACTCGTTCATATAGGTCCCGTTAGACTCCCTTGATGGGGACCTCGGGATCGTTGTAATCACGGGGCAGACACGGAGTGATATGGCTGAATTTCGTCAACAGATGAGTTCGTGTATCTTCTGAATTTCTTTGCTACGTTAGTCTGATAAAAGTCTCCATTTTCTCTTGTACTCTAGCTTCAGCTTACCAATCTTCCTTCTCTTCCTTTCATCCGGATTGGCAGTAACCAAAACGTGCTCACGAAAGTGTGAAGGCAGTGGTTGTACACACTGAAACAGCCCTGTCTGACTACAACGCGTCTGCGAACAGCACTAAGTTCGGAGAACACTAACACTAACAAGTGTTGGCTGTGTTCGAAACTATATGTGGATCTGACGACTCGCTCATTCGCAGGTGGAACAAATTTATATATATACAGCGCGTTAACGGGAAGTCAGTGACGCTGTGGATTTGGTGCGAATATCTATGTGAATTTGTCTGTCTGCTAGTGCTCCCCAATTTAATTTCCCGTTATTTCTCGGTGTGTGATGATTCGGAATATTGAATCATTAGAAACAGGTTTTCTATTTCTCCGTTTGATTTCCACGCTTTATCGTTGCAGTGTGGTGTACGTGTTTGGTCCTCAAGTGGCCTACCCGGTGAGCGACGTTACTGTAACCTACCTGCGCGAACCTGTTATTCAGACATTGCGTGAGGTGGACGATCGTGTCACCCAAGTCCTACGTCAAGCCGGCTGTATGGAGAAGATTAGCCAGCTTCCCATTGTGCTCATTCCCATCCACTTCGATCGCGACCCGAGTCAAGTAGTCGCGACGCCATCCATGCTCCGATCGGTTGTTCTTCGACCGGTTATTACCACGGACTATATGACCGGCTTGGCTGCCATCCCTGGGGTGGATATTCCTGAGACGGTAAGATCACATTCTGTCGATCTCTTTCTCTCTCTCTCTCTGTTTGGTCCCAATTTTTTGCTTATGTTTGGCGTCTCTGTTAGGTTTGATCAAGTTTCGTTATAATAATTGATTGAATGGTTAAGTTAAATGACTAACTTGGCGTTCTGTATTGAAAAAAAAAACTGTAGAGGTATTGCACGAATAACTCGTTAGGGATTTTCATTTGGGTTCGAACACATGGATTGTGAATCCGGTGTTATCCAGACAGCCCCTAATAGATGAGTGCACCGAACGTCCATCATGCATGGAACTGTTATCCATGGTAAAATTCGGGATGTAATTGGACATATGGTTGATTAAAACAATCCTATATATCTCGGCAGTTTATAGTAGCATCTAAGTTATGATCTGTGGTCCATGGATGCGGTGACTTTGCGGTAAGAATCGTCTTTGAGTTGGTAGCGCCCCAACAAATAGGACATCGGGTTGACATTCTTTATGAACCTAGTTTTGAATTCGAAACGGCCAGGTGGCACATTCAACGACCAAATGGAATTTCAATACGGTTCATCAGGTAACATATCAGGTTTCTTGTAAACCTCTTTACGGGTTCGGGTGTCCTGTTCGCCTTCCCGTGTTGTGGTCTTGTTCATTTTCATCGATTGGTCTTTTTCAGTATGTACAATATATTAACTGATTTATCAGAATACTTAATTTTTGTCTCATACTTTTTCTAGGTTGTATTCAATATGCAAAAGGCAGCTCAATCAGTTCCGGGGATCTCCCGTGTCCTGTACGATCTTACTTCCAAACCACCAGCCACAATCGAATGGGAGTGAGGTGACGTTGTGCACCGGGTCTTGCTGTTTCGTAACACTTCTTTGAAATCGCCCCTAACTCTTAAGCGGCCTTCACATCAGTATCCATTGTTCGTTCTCGCGGAGCTATGGTTTCCATTGACGGCTTTGGACTCCATCCAACGTGGACATAGAACTGTTCCTCCGCTCCCTTCATCTTGCTCGAATTCCCGTCTTTTGAGCTCTTCCTCAAGTACCCCCCACGGGGCATGTTAGATCACACACCAACTCTTTTTCTCTCCGGATTCCCCACTCCCACCCAGTTCACTCACACAATCCCCGCACATATTTTGCCACGTCCTCGGGGTGTTGATGCTGCGTCTGCGAAATACCTTTTCTTTCGTCTCTTTCGCTTCGTCATTCCCCCCTGTTTTCTCGGCATTGCAAACTGTCGTCCGTCTCATGCACACACCCGCGTCCCCTTGTCTAACTCCGGCAATGTCAGTGATTCCGTCATAAAACGACTGGGTTTTCTAGTCTTCTTCGCGTTAAAGTGTTCTGTTCTTATTGTGACGGAACCCATCTGTCTGCACGAAATCTCGGTTTAGTTGACACCATGACCGAAAGATCAGTGAAATGAACAAATGTGCGCATGTGAAGTTTTAGTAAATCTGGGCGCTGCTGTCCATACTTATTTCGGTTCCGAGATAACAATTGAAAGTTCTTCCTTCGCCTCACATCGGTATGTGGTCACGTAGTTCCATTATTGCGGTCCTGGTACTGATAAACCTAACCAGAGCCATTTGTTTCTCATCATGGTCCTTTGGTCAACCGGTCTTGACTCCACATAATAATAATACGCTAAGGAGCTGTCTGACGCACCAATTTTCGGTTAAGCCCAGTACTTAAAGAGCGAAACAGTTTTGCATTGTGCGTCGGTGTCCGGACACCGGAGGTTTTTGTTGACTAATATATGACTACCAAAATCACATCACAAGAGTTGGTTGAATGCGGCAGCACTGGTTCGTTTCGTTATTTCTCGTGTCACTTTTGGTTAAATCTATAACTCTGGTCCTAAGTTTGGGGGTACGAACCCCACCATTGCCACCTAACTTCGGTGGTCGGCAGCTTTAGTATCTTTCAGCGCATGCCTATCTTCTGACTTTGTGTGGATTGTCCGAGTTTCAGAGCTTAGGTTTCTGGTAGCCCGCGTCTGACAGTTATAATGGGGTTCTCCTTTTTCGCCATTCGTCATACCATTTTGTGTATTGAAAGCAAGTGAACAAATAAAATAACACGGCCTAATCTTCGAAACTTATAGCTTGAGGTACAGCGTATGTTTGTGTGAATATGCATTAGCATTTTAGACCTACTTCCAAATCAATGCGTCTCTTTAAAAATGCCGCTTCAAAGCTATTTAGAGATCAAGAAAGACTGTCTGGAACCGTTCCACTGCAATGAAACTGTGTTTGACGTGGTTTGATGGCTTCCTTATTTTCATCACTCTGTGAACTGTGCAGGGTTGTTTCTTGTTACCACGCATCCAGTCATGTCACGAAGGTCAATGCGTAGAAGCCAAACAAAATTCAGTTTTACTGGTTTCGTTTGACCACCCACTTTTTACTCTGGAGAGATCACCCCAAGAAATAACCACAGGGGGTGGTTTGTCAGTAGACATCGCACTAGGCGGATGCAGGAACGGGGTACTTTGGGCTTCTTAAGGTGGAAACAGTTTTCCTACTTCAGTGTACAGGTGCCGCCCGTCTGAGCTGGGCAGTCCCCAGTCNCTGTTTCGCGTATCATTCGGCGTTTAAGGCTAATCATCTCAAAGCGAGTACATGCTAACCTGATGTGATCGTTTGTCCACTTCAGTGATTCAACGAGCTTCACCGGATGGCTTTTGTTAAACCAAGGATCCATTCATGCACGAAATGTCGAAAAGCAGAGGTTAAATAACCCAGTCTCCTTTTCCTTTGGATTCAGAGGTCGACTCAAGTTGACATCCCAGTCGGTGAAAATAGCGTGGAGTAATCGCTGCTTTGCGGTCCGGTTCTTGCCAAAACGAGATTTGGGCTTACGACCCTAGTCTTTCTCCTCCCTTCCGTTTACCCCACTTTCTGCTCTGTAACATCCCCTCAGAAATATTAGTCGCCAGAGCCTATTTCAAATGGCGTTGTAAGTAGTATCCCATTGCAAAAATTCACACTGAAGCCTCGTCTTCCCCAGAGTCTGGGGACTTTCAAAGTGAAAATTCTCACTTAGGTTGGCCCGCAAACGTTTCTTGCACGCATAGTAGACACCCTGCCGACCGATTGTTACACCCTATCAAACACCTTAATACAAAGCCACTTGAGTGCACCGGGTCTGTCTCCTGGCATTTCGTTCACAGTTCAAGGGACGATGGATCTCGGCTATTGCGTCTACCCAAAGTGGGTGTGGAGGTGAACTACAAAATTGAAGCCTCAATGATAGATTGGATTTCTGTAGATATTGATTCATGGGCGATAAAAGCTCCAGGGTTCGGTTAATGTCTGGAAGGGAATTAGTACAAAACGATGCTGATTTGCTTCGAGTAATTGCAATCCGAATGCGCAAACGGACAAAGTCTGCAACGAACTTACTGAGCTCAACGAACTGTAATATACGTTACTGTGTTGGCAAGTGGTACTTACTAGCAGTTTTTTTAAAATAACATCTCAGTGTGATCAACAACAGACGGATATATAGAACAACAAAATTGGGTAGCAGTAGTGTTGTTTGAACATGGTTTCTGGGGTCGTGATGTTTACCACCATCATTATGGTCACCGTTGCTGTTAGGTACCACCCCATTATGCCGTACTGAGACCGGATTTCTAAGATAAAAGCTACGAGAGACAAGTCAACCTACTCTTATCCGTCTATGGATATGTATTTTCCAGTTGACTGGATTGATAGTATGGAATCCTGTGAAAAAGATTTTCTTTTCGTATTTGTTTGCTATCACTACATTGATGGGCTTTGGGAACTAAAACTGGGGATTTTCTTCAGGAGTCACAACCAATGCTTTCGGCCCTTTAAATTCTAACCTTCACAACTAGTTCATTGGGAGCCAGTGTGCAGTTTGTCGAGAGTTTCAGATGTGTGTGAATGGGTGCTCAATCAAGTTGATTACGATGTTAAGATGTACCCCTCTTCATGGGGGTTTCAGAATCGGTATTTTCAGTTTTTCCAGATGAAATACCAATCTGTGGGTAGGTTCTGGCTTCTTGCCCCATGGAGAACATTCTCTTTACGGACAGGCAATTGGGTAAACTTCCTCAACAGATATTCGAATAGACATACTACATCACGGCGTTGCGTGGAATCTGATCGATGTCTCATCCAGTCGCGAAAAAAACGTTTTGATATCCAGATTATGCACGGAACTCTATGCGTTTACCGAAGCTCCAGCAGAAAGCAACGAAATAATACATGTTTTAACTAAGCGATTGACATGATTAACTACAAACCCGCTATCGCTATCAATGATCGATATGCCGGACGAATTTTTTAGTTTACATTTCTTCTGTACAAGAGCGCAGATTGTTGAATCGCGCTGATACCACAGCTCGTCTGATGATTTAGCGACTAACAATGAAAATCGTCAGAAGGAGACGTGCAATGAGAGAGGTTTTATACAGGTTAGCAGTACCTGCGAAATAGGATGGACTGGAATCAGAAATGTGTCATGGGGGGAACAACTACTGACTGTTTGCGTGCGGGTTTCAACGCGTGTACAGAATCGAGGCAATACACGTGAGTTCCTGCAACTAGAAGCCATGGTGCGACCTAATACAAGAGGCTAATTCACATCTCCGAAGGTTTGCTCTAGTCTATATAGAGTGGAGGGAGAGTAGAGTATTTGAGATCTCTATAGGGATGATTGTTAGGAAAGTGTGCAGAATTGCTCAGAACGAGAACGAAAGTCAGCCTTTTTGGCCATGAGGAAGTTACGGACTCTTACGCGGGTGTTGATCCCAATGTTAGAAGAAGACACAGAGAGACAAACTGTAACTCAAGCTGTTAAACTCTGGGAGTGTCAGCAGGAATCATGTAAGTCTACGAGAAAGATGAACAGGCGGCTCGGCTGTTAAATATTACAGTCAGACTATCTTATTTACTGGAAGTCGGGGTTTCGTTATATCTACATATCGAATCGAATGGGAAAGGAATAATATATAGGGAGCAATATCTGATGGAATTTTTGACAAAACTCCTGTTAGTGTTCGGGTGAATAAAATAGTAGAGAAAGCCGTGCAAGCCCATTTTGTTGTTTAATTGATATCTCACTTGGCTTTGGAGTGTGGATTTTCTTAACTCTTCGTTACCAGGTCACCGCCCCTGTCCTACCAGGGCGCTATGACCTCGTGCAGTAGTCAAATCACCAACGTGCTTGTTGTCATACGTTGATCTAGTTTGTGGACTTGGAGTGCTCTGTCGGTTGAAGCGTTTGCTAATCTGGTGACCCCAGTGTGTGTATGTTATCGGTATGTGACGTTCGTTGTGTGCCGGATCGTTGTGAGATGTGCATTCCGACGTCAACGAGAACTACTTATCCCACCGTTTCGTTCCCCGGTCATTCCCGTGATTTGTCTTGTGAGTGAACGATTCTGGTTTGCCGACCGTTCTATTTCACTCTAAACAGGTAACCTGGATGAACAGAATTTGGTGTATGGGTATATACGTATAATCATTATTCATATACATCATTTATCCTGCACTAACCTCTCCACCACTCCCTCGCTCTCTGCACAAAAACTTAGACGATTTCGCACAATCGTTTACGGATTCACGGCGAACTAAGAGAGAGAAAAGGAGATATTAGTTTTGTGCAGTTGGTTCATTTTTGATGTGCGCTTTTGTGTAGCTGTGTTTGTATGTAACCCTATCCGGTTACTTCATATCCGTTGTGCTTGTCTAATTTCTGGTGCGCATTTCATATACCGGTGGGAGAAATTGTGGCTTGTGAACCTGCCTACACATGCACATACACACAAGCAAAAATGCATAGATCTTGTTGTG